ATCTATCTATATATTATATATTTTTTTCTTTTTTTTGTCAGTCATGGGGCCTGAATGCTGGGCCTGAGCACTGTCCCTTAGCTCTTCAGGTCAAGGCTAGCGCTCCACCACTTGAGCCACAGTGCCACTTCTGGTTTTTCTGCTTATGTGGTGCTGAGGAATTCAACCCAGGGCCTTATGCATGCAAGGCAAGCACTGTGCCACTGAGCCACTTTCCCAGCCCAGGTATCAATTTTAATAATGAGTTTTTATAAATAGTACTAGTTTCAATATTAAAGTTATATAGTACTTCTAATTAGTTGGCTTAAAACAGTCACATACAGGGGCTGGGAAGGTGGCTCAGTGGTAGATCACTTGCCTTGCATGCAGGAGGCCCTGGGTTCCATTCCTCAGCACCACATAAGCAAAAAGAAAAAAGCCGGAAGTGGCGTTGTGGCTCAAGTGGTAGAGCGCTTGAGCTGAAAAGCTGAGGGACAGCGCCCAGGCCCAGAGTTCAGGCCCCACGACCGGACCCCCCAAAAAAAATTAAAAAAAAAATTAAAAGTCATATACATGATGCTTTTTCACATAGGCTTTTGCATAACCAATTTGAAAAAAATCTGAATTCAATATTTAATAATGTATATCTTTATCACATATTGGACCTGCCCAGACCAATAAAATGAAAGTCTCAGGGGCTCAGACATCAGCATTAAGATACAACTACCAAAAAAAAAAAAAAAAAGAGGGCTGGGAATGTGGCTTAGTGGCAGAGTGCTTGCCTAGCATGCATGAAGCCCTGGTTTTGATTTCTAAGTACCACATAAAAGGCCAGAAGTGGCGCTGTGACTCAAGTAGTAGAGTGCTAACCTTGAACACAGAGAGGTTGGGGACAATGCCCAGGCCCGGAGTTCAAGCCCCAGGATTGACATAAAAAAGAAAAAGACATACCAGTGGCTTGCCCCTGTAATACTAGCTACTCAGGAGGATGAGATAAAAGGATTGTGGTTTGAAGCCAGCCTTGACAGGAAAGTCTGTGAGACTCTAATCTCCAATAAAAACTACTCAGAAAACCTGGTGCTGGTGGCTCACACCTTTAATCCTAGCTACTCAGGAGGCTGAGATCTGAGGATCACAGTTCAAAGCCAGCCTGGGCAGGAAAGTCCATAAGACTCATCTCCAATTAACCACCAGAAAACGAAGTGGTGCTGTGGCTCCAGTGGTAGAGTGCTTGCCTTAAGCTGAGGGTCAATACCCAGGCACAGAGTTCAAGCCCTACAACTGACAAAAAAAAAAAAAACCTCCGAAAAAGCTGGAAATTGCATGATGGCTCACATTGTAGAGCACTAGCCTGTGTTAGAAGCTCAGGGACAGTGCCCAGGCCCAGAGTTCAACCCCAGGACCGGCAGAAAAAATTGTTAAAAAGCTAGAGTTGAAAAACATGGATATAAATTATTTAAATTTTTTCCCCCATAAATGGAGCTTTCTTCTAGTAGAGGTGGGGAAGAAAAGACTACCCTCACAAATTTTGCATGATATTGTCTTCGTTTCTAAGTCAAAGAATTGTCCCCTTGTACTTCTAAGACATGCTGTGCATACCTTTGGAATTATACTGACTGCACTTAATAAACTCTCCCACTTTTAAGTCTTTGGGGGATTCACAGTGTTTTGCTATATTGTATTCATCACAAACTATTTGAATAAATGAGTGAACCTTACTTTTCTAGATAATTTTTTGTTTTTGGTGCTAATATCAGAGCATGTACTTAGGCTTCTCACTCAGTTTTTTTGCCCATTCCTGGTGATTAACTAATTGAGTTACTCCTCCAGTCTGGCACTTTGCCAGTTAATTGGGAATGAGAGTTACAGACTTTTCTGTCCTGGCTTGTTTTGAAGCAAGATCCCTCAGATCTGTCTCCTGAATAGCTAAGATTATAAGTGTAAGCCGAAAGAGCTCAATGGAACTATGAAAATAAAAATGCCCATTTTGGGCTGGGAATGTGACTTAGTGGTAGAGTGCTTGCCTAGCATGCATGAAGCCCTACGGTTTTTTGTTTTGTTTTTTGTCGGTTGCGGGGCTTGAACTCTGGGCTTGGGCGCTGTCCCTGCGCTCTTCAGCTCAAGCCGAGCACTCTATAACTTGAGCCACAGCACCACTTCCGGTTTTCTATTGGTTTATTGGAGACGAGTCTCACGGACTTTGCTGCCTTGGCTGGCTTTGAACCGCAATCCTCAGATCTCAGCCTACTGAGTAGATAGGATTATAGGCATAGGCGTGAGCCACCCACCGGCGCCCGGCGAAGCCCTAGGTTTTATTCCTCATTACCACATACACAGAAAAAGCCAGAAGTGGCACTGTGGCTTAAATGGTAGAGGATCAGCATTGAACAAAAAGCTCAAAGACAGTGCTCAGGCCTTGAGTCCAAACCCAAGGAATGGCTCCCCCCCAAAAAAAACAATTCCCCCTTTTAGAAAAATTGTGGGCCTAATATGTAATAAAGTGATATATAAGAATATATGCACTTCAGTATTAATGTAAAAGACATGGGCCAGGTTGTCTAGAGTTATTAGGATCTGAAGAGAGCTAGACAGCAGAGCGGGATCAGGTAGGTGTTATCTATACAAGTTCCATAACACCTAGATGCCTGTCCTAAGTCATTGTCACTAACATGGTGGACTAAAAGGAAGACCACATTGAATTAACAGCTGTTGCATAAAAAAAATCTGGCTTATCCCTCTTGCTCCTAGTTTGCAAATATGACACTCTTGTTCAGTGCTATCTCCTACCATATTTAGTCACTAAATGGTGTAAAGATTGCTTTGTAAATTCTATCCTACATATCTGTATTCTAGCATAATTTGGACACCTTCAGTGACAGCTAAAATTGCTAAAATGGTCTTTTCTACATATTTTTGTTCCAGAGTATTCTCAGCATTTTCTAAGTAATTTCTCTTTACAAAAATGTGATGGGAGCCGGGCTCTGGTGGCTCACGCCTGTAATCCTAGCTACTCAGGAGGCTGAGAGCTGAGGATCGCAGTTCAAAGCCAGCCCCGGCAGGAGAGACCTTGAGACTCCTATCTCCAATAAACCACCAGAAAACCGGAAGTGGCGCTGTAGCTCAAGTGGTAGAGCGCTCGCCTTGAGCTGAAGGGACAGCGCCCAGGCCCAGAGTTCAAGCCCCACGACCGACAAAAAAAAAAAAAATGTGATGGGGCTGGGAAGGTGGCTCGGTGGTAGAGTGCTCACTTGCATGCATGAGCCCCTGGGTTCGATTCCTCAGCACCACATAATCAGAAAAAACCAAAGTGGTGCTGTGGCTCAAGTGGTAAAGTGCTAACCTTGAGCTTAGGGACAGCACTCAGGCCCAGAGTTTAGGCCCCAAGACTGACTCAAAAAAGTGATGACTACATAAGCCATAGAGTTAAACCTGCCTTAAAACTCTTAACTAGCATTTAAATTTTTTCAATATATCTTTACCATAGTTAGAACTTATCGTTTGTCCTGACTACTTATCACTTCTCTATATATTTTCAGTTATTACTGCTCTACAGTTGCTTCTTTTTCCGAACTGTCAATACTCTAATGTATTTATGTTAGTTAATATGTGCCAATTAGCACAAACCAGATGAGAACTTGAGAATAAGGACTGCTCTCTAACTCTGATGTCTCAAAAAGAATATAGAAAATGTACCGGACTCCTATTAAACACACAATGTTGGGGCTGGGAAGGTGGCTCAGTGGTAGAGCGTTTGCCTTGCATGCACGAGGCCCTGGGTTCGATTCCTCAGCACCACATAAGCAAAAAGAAAAAAGCCGGAAGTGGCGCTGTGGCTCAAGTGGTAGAGTGCTAGCCTTGAGCTGATTAAAGAGAAAGATCTTAAGTATGAAGGAAGGTGGATGTGGCACATCAACGGCTTTTGTTGTTGTTGGTCGTGGGGCCTGAACTTTGGGCCTGGGTACTGTCTCTCAGCTCTTCAGCTCAAGGCTAGCGCAATACCAATTGAGACTCAGCTCCACTTCTGTTTTTTTTTTTCCTGCTTATGTGGTGCTGAGGAATCAAACCCAGGGCCTCATGCACACAAGGCAAGCGCTCTACCACTGAGCCACCTTCCCAGCCCAATCAACAGCTTAATTTGAACATGTTGCAGCTTCATGAGGACACGGTATCAAACATCAATGGAATTTTTTTTTGAGTTTTAAAAAAGTATACATTAGTTATGGGGGAGGGTTATTACCTTAACACACAGGTTTACAGGGTAGTCCAATTAATCCAACCCCTCCATCACTCTCCTTTCCCAATTCCTAAAAAAAATTCAATAGGTTTTTTTTCACAGATGCAAACGACCTATTTGTACAGCATTCACCCTTTTTTTTTAATCTTGATTAACCCACGCCACGCCAATGAAATTCATCTTTAGCCCTGAACACCGCACACACCTTTGCCACGTGGTTGCGACTTTTCTGTTGCTAGGAAGACGCACCCCAGCAGCTAAGCGTCAGAGTACTTTAAGTCCACGTGCGTCTACTGTACCATAAACCAACTTCCCCACAACCCTTGTAAGCGGAAGATCAATTTCTGCTCTCTAGTAGGAAAGAGGTTAACAATGCGGCAAGCTCAAATGCCCTCTCACGGCGGGGCCAGCAAGCAACGCCCGTCGCCTGGGCACTTCAGAGACTACCTCCGAGCACCGCGGACCTCCCAGCACGGCCGACCGCCCGTTTGCGTCACGTGACAGCTCGCCAAGGCCCCTTCTCGTTCAGTGACATCCCTGGAGATGACTGATTATTAGTCCTTTTGGTTGGGGGCGGTGCGGAGAGGCTGCTGTTCCTAAGAGCTAGAGACAGAGGAGACAGTAAACCAGCTGGGCAAGCTCTCCCCGCGAGCTCCCCCTTGCAGCCTCTCGGCACCGTCGCTTCCTTACTGATCAGGCGTTTGCTCAGGCACCTCTCTGGTCACCTTGGGTCTTTCCGAGCCGCAGGCGCAGCGTCTGCGTCACGGCCCACCCCGTGTCCCCTGGTCCTTCCAGGCTTGGTTAGAGCGTGTGGCCTCCATGTCTTTACGCCGGTGTGCCCTGCTGTGGGCCCGGCTCCCGGTGGGGCGACGGGCCGGCCAGCGGGCGGCCGTGTGCTCTCCCGTGGGCGCCCACCTGGGAGCCTTTCCTGGGCCGCTGGGGCGCGCTCCCGCCCTCGCCGCCTCCTCGGCGTCGGGTGGCTCCAAAGCCCCGAACACGTCCTTGTTCGTGCCCCTGACTGTGAAACCTCAGGGCCCCAGCGCCGATGGCGACGTCGGGGCCGAGCTGACCAGGCCTCTGGACAAGAGTGAGTGCGGAGCCAGGGCGGCCGGGGTCGTGTCTGGGGTTCCGGGGTACTGTGGGCGTGTGAGTGTGGGATTCCTCCTCACCCTCTCGCCCTACAGTGGCGCTTTCCTTTTCAGCTGCTCTTTGAATGGTTTCATCTCTGTTTCTTGTGTTGGGGTGATTCACTCTTCTAGTCATCAGAAGTTCACCGCCTTTCCTAGCACTCTTCTTGTTTCCTCCTTGGACCTCCAGAACTGTTGCCTCTGAGAAGAGGCAAAGGGGTAAAGCAGTGAACAGCCACTGGATTTTTTTTTTTTTTTTTGGTTCTTGTCCATTGACAATCCTGACACTGTTAGCTGCTTGGTGGTTGCCAAGAGCAACGAGTCTCAGCTCCTCGTCACCTCCTCTCCACCGGATAGGTGGATAACCAGCAATAACGCAAGGTAGAACTTGATAAGGAGGTCCTCGCCGAAAGTGGTAGATACCTCACCATCCCAACCTCCAGAGAGGAAGCAAAAGCTTAGCGTCGCAGAGTTGCTGTGGCTTACTTTGATGGATTCGACAGAAGTGTGTGGATGCTTTCAAGGGGAGCTTTCAGATTCTATGACTCCACCTTCGCTTCTGAGTTAGTGAAGATGAAAGGTTTCCATTGGTGAAATGAAATTCTGGGAGGCTGAAGGAATGCCTTGGTCCCGTTTCAGGCCCTAGCTATCTGGTAACTACCTCCAGACACTCACTTCAGCAAGCAAAAGTGGTGCCTTGTATTGTAATTTGAAAGTATACATGTCTTACTGTACTATAGAACAGTCTTGTTTTTCATAGCTTTATAAGCCACATCGCTTGCACTAAAAATGTGATTGGACATATTGTCTGACTTGTTGCTGCCAGTTTACACGAAGTTTTCTACTTAGAGTTATTACTTTCATAAATACCCAGTAATGTTTACGTTTTTATTTTGAAAATATAACACAAGTAACCATGTTAACTTTAATCTTTTCCTGATGGTACTAGAGTTTGAATTCAGGGCCTCCATGCTTGAGCCATGTCTTCATCTTAGCCATTTTTTTTTTCTGGTACTGGGATTTAAACTCTGCCTCTTGACTTGCTTGCTTGGGTAGCTCTTTACTGCTTGAGCCATTCCTCCAGTACAGATTTTTCTGATTACTTTGGAGATGGAGTCTCACGGACATTTCTGCCACAGTCCTGCAGCTCTCATCCTCTTGAGTAGCAAGGAATAGAGGTGTGAGGGTCCCTCCCCCATGTCCTGCTGATCTCAACCAGTTTTATGTGTATAGTTCAGCTAAGTTAAGTGTATTCACATTGTAAAACATCTCATTGTCGTGCAAAATTGGGACTTAACAAGTTTATGCACTAAACAACAATTTTCCCATTCCATATTATTTAAAGGCATGTAGTAAGTTCTAAGACTTTTTGCCTTATATTTTGCTTGTCTTCTTTTTTCCATCCTTCCCTGTCCTTCCTTTCTTTTCTTTCCTCTCTTTCTCCCTCCTTTCCTTCTTTCTGTACTTTGAACTCAGGGCCTCAACCTCTTGCTCAGCTTTCTTTTTTTTCTTTTTATTGGTCCCGTCGTGGGACTAGAACTCTGGGCCTGGGTGCTGTCCCTTAGCTCTTCAGCTCAAGGCTAGTGCTTTACCACTTGAGCCAAAGAACCACTTCCAGCTTTTTTTTTCTGCTTATGTGGTGCTGAGGAATTGAACCCAGGGCCTCATGCATGCCAGGCAAACACTCTACCACTGAGCCAACTTCCCAGCCCCCCTTGCTCAGCTTTCTTGCTCACAGCTGGGACTTTACCACTTGAGCCATGCAGTCTGACATTTTGGTGGTTCATTGGAGATGGAGTTTTTTTTTTTTTTGTTTTGTTTTGTTTTGTTTTGGTCATGGGTCTTGAACTCTGGGCCTGGGTGCTGTCCCTCAGCTCTTCAGCTCAAGGCGAGCGCTCTACCACTTGAGCAACTTTGCCATGCCCGGTTTTCTGGTGGTTAATTGGAGATAAGAGTATCACAGACTTTCCTGCCCGGGCTGGCTTTGAACCATGATCTTCAGATCTCAACTTCCTGAGAAGCTAGCATTACAGGTGTGAGTCACCAGGCAGGAGGTAGAGTTTTGAAGACTTTTCTGCCCAAATTGACTTCAAAATTGAACCTCCAGGTTTCAGCTTCCTCAGTCACTAGAGAAACAGGTGTCAGTAATTAGTGCCTTGCACCCTCCCTCTCCCACCCTTTTTTTAAACAGGTTATCACTATGTAGTACAGGCTGGACTCAATTTGTGATCCTTCTTCATTCTCCTGAATTAGGCATGTGTGACCATGCCTGATTTAGCAGTCACTTTTCATCTTCTAGACTCCAGTCTCCTAGTAGCTCTAGGTAACTACTAATCCATATTCTGTCTCTGTAGATTTGCCTGTTTTGTACATGGCATGTAAATCATATGTAATCTATGGTCTTTTGTGATTGATTTCTTTTACTTATTATCATGAAAAATGTCATGTTTTTAAGTCTTTTTGTTGTTGTTGTTTATTTTGTGCCATCATTAGAACTTGAACTCTGGGTACACTGTCCCTTAGCTTTTTTGCTTAAGGCGGGCACTCTACCATTGAAATGAAAGTCTCATGACTTTTCTGCCCAGGCTATCTTTGAACCTTGACCCTCAGATCTCAGCTTCCTGAGTAGCTAGGCTTACAGGTGTGAGCCACTGATGTCTGGCTTGAATTATTTTAAGTTGAATAAAATACCATGATTCTTATAACACTGGAGTTGTAAGATATGCCCAGTCCCAGTGGCTCCACACCTGTAATCCTAGCTGTTTAGAACATAGGTTAACTCTGAATAACTGTGATTTGTCTTTAGTTTGTGTTGAGCTTATAGGTTGGTAGAATTTTCTCAAGCAGCATTTTCTCATGCTTTTGCCAAGACTTTTTTTTTGTCACTGATTTTTCTACTGTTGATACTAAGAAGCTATTGTGCTTCTTAGTCTATAAGAGTAGCCACAACCCCAAAATATCAAGACAGCTACCTATCTTCCAAAGAATGGGTGTCTGTCTTCTCATTAGCTGTGAAAAAAATCTAGTGACAACCATCAGCTTTGTAACTTCCTCATTATATAAAGCAAAGGATGCTATGTTCAAGCCTAATTTCTTCAGCATGTGGCCACTTTGCCTTTCTATCTTTCAGGTGCAAGGACTGTACCATCAATTTTGGCTTTTCTTCACAGAAATGTGTATGTGGCTGGCCGAGGAAACTCATCTTTTCAGAATAATACAGTTGTATTCTAACATGTGTAACTTTCATACAATCTCAGTTTAAATTATTTCTACTTAGGGGATTATTGATTCATGGTGGTATGTCAGCTCAGCAGACACCTACTTCAACCTCGTTTGAAGCATAGAAATCCCTGTGCTATTACTCTTGAAATTCGGCCATTAACCCTTGCTTGAGTACACCCAATCACTGTGAGACAGTCCCTTTTCAATATTCTGTTTGGAAGTTCTTGTATAAATTGCACTAAAATCTTCCCTTATTTCCTACTGACTATAGTTATGTGGTCTCCAACAAAGCAAGAATAGCATGTTCTCTGTAAAATCAATCATTTATAAACTAAAGATCATCTCAGTTTTTTTTGTTTGCATAGAGTCTTTTTGGTTGGGTTTGTGCTGCTGACTACTTGCTATACATACTGGATACTGGTTATAAGTGAAAAAGAAGCCCATTCTCTAAAGTAGCCTGAGAAAGGTGGAGATTTATTCTGAGCCTGTCATATCTCATTCACTCCTCTTTTGTACAGCAGGAATGGTGCATTGATTTTCAGTTTCTATATACTTTGCTCACTTTGCCCATGAAGAGAGATCACCTAAAACCTTCAAGTTCTTGTAACATTTAATGTAATGAATCCTCAGGTTTCTTTTCCTTTTTTGATGTTTGCCTAAACTAGGAGATAAATGTTAAATTTTTATTTTCTAGATGAAGTAAAGAAGATCTTAGACAAGTTTTATAAAAGGAAAGAAATTCAAAAACTGGGTGCTGATTATGGACTCGACGGTAAGGCCAATAGCTTGTTTCTTAAAAGTACATGGTCTAGAGATAAACTAGTTCTTGGCCTTGGTTTCTTCAGGCAGAGCTCACCTGGCAAAGGTCACCTGGTGAGTCCAACTGCACACCAGAGGAGCTATGCCTTCATCCTTGTTCCACATAGTACAAGGATTTCAGCTTTAGTTCAGATCATAGTAAATCAGCTATACTGCCAAAATAACATGTGGTGTGTGTGTGTGTGTGTGTGTGTGTGTGTGTGTGTGTGTGTGTGTGTGTGTGTGTGTGATTTTAAGATGAGAACTGAAAGAAAACTAAATCTTACATACTTGGATTTATCTTTTCCACAGCTCGTCTGTTTCACCAAGCTTTCATCAGCTTCAGAAATTACATTCTGCAGTCTCATTCCCTGGATGTGGACATTCACATTGTTTTGAATGACATTTGCTTCAGTGCAGGCAAGTGTGGAGAGAATTGTTTCAATTCTTTAGATATACTTTCAATTTTTTTTTCTCATATATCATGTTTATTTTTCTCAGGACTTGTTTTAGAATGGGGTCTGTGAGTAATTCATTGCTTTCATGGGAGGCCTACTGGGTCACTGTTGCTTTTTATATTGGTTCCTCAGTGAGTCACTAAGTTGTGTATAGATGGGGCCCTTGATCAGTCATCTTCTGCTCTCTGCTAGTGTCAGCATGGATGGCCACATTGAAACCAGCTCTGACATCACATTAATTAGTACATGGTGATTCCATGTGGTTCTGCCATTGGCTTCTTCAGGATACAGTTCAGAGCATCATCATTCTATTCCCATTGATACGTTAGCTTTTTATTTTGCTGATTTTTTTTGAGGCAGATCCTCACTACATAGCTCAAGATGACATTGAACCTTAGGCTGTCTCAACCTTCTGAGTGCTGGGATAACAAACATACAAGTTATAAATTTTTTTTTCCTGGCACTGGGGTTTGAACTCACAACCTCAAACTTGCTAAGCAGCTACTATACCACTGAGCCATACCTTCAGCCCATTAGGGTTATAAGTTTTAAATGTATTTTTGACTCTCAGATCTTATGCCAGGTCTGGAGGGGAGCCTAGATACAGAGAAAATGGGACTTGTCCTATTCTCCATTTTTTTTTTTTTTTTTTTTGATCAGGGGACTTGAATTCAGTGCCTGAGTGCTGTCCCTGAACTTTTTCACTCAAGTCTAGCACTCTACACCTTTGAGCCATAGTGCTACTTCCAGTGTTCTGGTGGTTAATTGGAGTTAAAGAGTCACACAGACTTTACTGCATGGGCTGGCTTTGAACTGCAATCCTCAGATCTCAGTCTCGAGTAACTAGGATTACAGGCGTGAGCCACCAATGCTTGGCTCCACTCTCCTCTTAGAGCTATTAATGTGTAGGAAACTTGCTGAAGAGTCAATTTACTTACATGATGAAAGTGGCTCTTTGTGGTTTTTGAAGTCTAAAAGTGTTTATACTGAGCTGAGGGGTGTAGCTCAGTAGTAGAGCACATACTTAGCATGTGCAAGGCCCTGGGTTCAGTCCTCGACATAAAAAAAAAAAAGAGAAATTTGCACCTTAGTTCTCTTCATGTAACTGTTGGCTTTCTCTCTATTTGTCTAGACTCTTAGTTTTTAGTGTAATTTCCACCAGTGTTAATCTTTACGAGTTTGCACTGGAGGAATAAACATAGTGGCTAACAGCCAGTTTTCTGTTTTCCCCAAAATACAATTGGTGTTTGGAGCGTAAAGAAAGACAAAGCACAGACACAGAAAAGGAAGGGGTCTCTTGCTCCAGGACTTTCCTTTTTATCCTGGCAATGCTTCTGTAACTCACCTTACTAAGAAAAGGTTTGCCTAATATTCAGAAGGTTAAAGCTGGCTCCTGTGTTTCGGCCAGGCCTGGGTTATATAGTGTGACCTTGTCTAAATAAACCGAAGTTTCAGTTGTGGATAGCATGTGGATTGTACATGTTAATGTATCGTTTTGTTTTCTAGCCCATGTGGATGACTTATTTCCATTTTTCCTGAGACATGCCAAACAAATATTTCCTGTGTTGGAGTGTAAGGATGATCTACGTAAAATCAGTGACTTAAGAATACCACCTAACTGGTTAGTTCTTTCAGCTGTGGATTTACAACGTTCAGGTTCTAATTTGGAAAAAATGAATGATTGTTTCTATAGTAATAATTATTATTGCTGGACACTGGAGGCTTATGCCTGTAATCCTGACTACTCAGGAGGCTGAGATCTAAGGATTGCAGTTCAAAGCCAGCCCAAGCAGGAAAGTCCATGAGATAAGTCAAATTAATCACCAGAAAACCAGAAGTGAATTGTGGCTGAAGTGGTAGAGCATTTGCCTTGAGCTGAAGAGCTCAGGGACAGCACCCAAGCCCAGAGTACAAGCCCCATGACCTACAAAAAAAAATATTACTTATTGTATGCTAGAAGCAGATTTTTTAGAAAGAGTTTGGATTTTGTTGTTTTCCCTGAAGAAAACCAAGCTGTTATTGAAGTGTCCTCCTGAGCCTTTGAGCGTTAATTTCGGTTTGAGTAGGGCAGATCTGAAGTTGCCCTACTTCCAGGTATTTTCCTGAGGTCTTTTTAGGCATTCCTGGTATCTCAGCAGAATGTTTGTAATGAGTCCTTTCCACCATGGCTGAGCTAGACTCCTGCAGTGCAGTGCACTAGAAGACCCCTTTGAGACTTCCTTTTCAAATACTTGGTTGGCTGCTTGCTAGGCTTTTCCAATTTCCTCGTGGCACATGTATAGTGCAGCTCTTGTCCAACAACCCCCAGGGATTCCCCACACGACTTCAGGAACTTCCCTTCACTGCACCCTATTGCTCTTCCACATCTCCCTCTCATAAGAATCTAGCTGCTTCAACTGCATTGAAGCCGCTGCTGCTTTGTTGAGGGGGCACTATGGTATTTTTGAATGACACCTCCCCATGTCCTGTTTAATGCAAAAAAAAAAAAACAGCTCATGTTCCTCCTCCCAGATGTTTTTGACTGCCTTTGTCCATGCAAGTAGTTGCCTTGTTTTGCATTTGCTTATGGGCAAGTCTACCCATCATCAGTTAATCCTTCCTGGCCAGAAGCAAAAGATGCACAGGTTTTATTTGTATAAATGGCAGTGCAGAGGCCTACCAGTGCTTGCTTTTAGAGTCTCGTGTTTAGTTCTGTGGGGGTGATGTGAACTTATTAATAGCAGTTACACTTACTTATAACTCCTGAGGAAAAGAGAGTTGTATAGAAAAGAAAATAACCAAGAAATTTATTTGCATTTGAGTTGAGAATATGCTTTATTTGGAATTTTGCTTAGTTACTATTTGCCAAGATATATTTTCAGATAAATGAAATTCAGTTTTGTCTACTCACTATTTAGGTACCCAGAAGCCAGAGCCATACGTCGGAAGATAGTATTTCATTCGGGCCCCACAAACAGTGGAAAGACTTACCACGCGATCCAGAAATACTTCTCAGCCAAGTCTGGAGTATATTGTGGCCCTTTAAAATTACTGGCCCATGAGATCTTCGAAAAGAGTAATACTGCTGTCAGTGTATTACGAGATATATGGTCTTTTTTTCTTGTTATTTTTGCTTTCTTTTGGGTGATGAAGATAAAATGGGGAAGATATAAGTAGTTATTTACTGTTAAATGGAAATGACCATATTTCACTGCACTAATTTAATTTAAGTTGTAATCAAGGAAAAGCCTGCTGACCTCTAACGTACCATCAGTACTTAAGCTGCATGGCAATGCAAAGAAACTAAAACGTGGAAAAATAAAGCAGAGCTTGGTGGTATGTGCCTATATCCAGCAGTTGGCAGGAGGAGGCAGAGTCCTGAGGTGGGCCAGCCTGAGTTACATAGTGAGACCTTGTCTTGAAAAAATAAACAAAAAAAAGTGAGAAAAAAGTATATAATACAGTGATTGACAGAAAATTTCACATATAGATGGAAATTCAGGAAATAACATGAATCACTATGATCACACTAACTTATCACACCCAGCTTTATTTACATTTTTTTTTTTTTTTCTGGTGCTGGTCTAGGGGCTTGAATTCAGGGCTTGGGTGCTGTCCCTGAGCTTTTGTGCTCCTACCACTTGAGCTACAGCCCTCTTCTGGCTTTTTGGTGGTTAATTGGAGATAAGAGTCTCAGACTTTTCTGCCTGGGCTGGCTTTGAGCCACAATCCTCACATCTCAGCCTCCTGAGTAGCTAGGATTGCAGGCTTGAGCCATTAGCACCTGGCTTATTTACTTTTATAGAAAAGAGAAAATATTCCTGGCGAGTTGAAAGTCCTCTTGAACTGCTTTACTTCCTCAGAGCTAATCAGTGCTCTGTTGGAATGTTTATTTCCCTCCTTACAGAGTTTTGATGTTGTCAACTGGAACTAATGAAAAAAAGACTAAAGCCACTTTTTCGAAACCAAGTAAGCCTGTTGTCTGTGGTATAATTTTACCAAATAATCTGCGTTTTGGCTTATTTTATTATGACTATAATAAAGCAGTTATATATATTATTTTATTACTTTATATATTTATGTATCATTTTGGCTTTATAATTATCCAGTTTGGGTTAGATAATTTTCATTCTATGTTTCTTTGAATAATTTGAGTAATTTGTATACACAGTAGCTCTTTATTCGTATTTTTATTTTTTGTCAGTCGTGGGGCTTGAACTCTGGGCCTGGGCGCTGTACCTCAGCTCTTCAGCTCAAGGCTAGCGCTCTACCACGTGAGCCACAGCACCACTGACAGTTTTCTGATGATTAATTGGAGATAAGAGTCTCATAGACTTTCCTGCTCGGGCTGGCTTGGAACCATGATCCTCAGATCTTAGCCTCCTGAGTAGCTGTGATTACAGGTGTAAGCCACTAGCGCCTGGCTGTTCGTAAATTTTTGAGAATATTTTTCCTCAAAACAAAAATTTTTCATTCTATTCAGACCACTAGGAGTGATCAGTCCTCCACATTTGCCTGGCCTTTTCTCCCTTTATTCTGGGGACATTTCAGTCCTGGGCAAGGTGGGATGATTGCTCAACCTGAGATACCATAGCCCTAAAGTATATCAGAGTACATCTTAAATTTTATTTAATTCTTAGTAGTATGGAAATGTACAAAGTTAAAAAAGTGAAATTACTGCAATTTCTCATGCTGTTCTTAACCTGAGGATTTAGTTGATTTGGGATAGTTCCTATTTTACAAGTTATGTAAAGAAGTAGCTGTTACTATAAGCATTGAGACTATTGTATTTCAACTATCAAATTTATGATAATGGAGAGAATACTTTATTATAAACACTCAGCAGTTTTTTCTGCTATTGTTTCCAAGATAGAAATAAGTCCAGGTTCTTTGTCATTCTAGGGCATACCATGTGACTTGGTGACAGGCGAAGAGCGTGTGACAGTGGCGGCCGATGGCAGACAAGCTGCCCATGTTTCCTGTACTGTTGAGATGTGCAGTGTTACTACTCCTTGTACGTAAATGCTTTTCTAAAAATGATGGTTTGTGACTAGGAACATGCCTTAGTGGTAGAGTGTTTGCCTAGCATGCATGAAACCCTGGGTTTGATTCCTTTGTACCACATAAACAGAAAAAGCCAGAAGTGGCACTGTGGCTGAAGTGGTAGAGCACTAGAGACTCAGGGACAGAGCCCAGGCCCTGAGTTCCAGGCCCAGGACTGGCAAAAATGAAAACAAATAAAAATGATGGTTTGCTATTTTAAGAAGATACAATTGAACTTACAAGTTACATTTTTTATTGTGAAAGCCATTAAAATCTAGAATCTAGCACGTCTAGTACAACAAACGTTTAGAACCTACCACTGATAAAAAGGGACAAACGTTGTCAGACTTCTGTATGTTCATTTCCTTTCTCTCTCACTCTTTGTTATTTTTTTTGTTTTTGTTTTTTGGTCGGTCGTGGGGCTTGCACTCTGGGCTTGGGTCTCACTCTTTTTTTATGGTTTGGAGTTTGCTTGTGGCAAATATTCTAATAGTTTTTCCCTCCATATGAACTTTTGCATTGATTTCTGTAATTCTGTGGGATTTTTTTTTTTTTTTAATCAGTCATGGGGCTTGAATTCAGGGCCTGGGCACTGTCCCTGAGCTCTTCAGCTCAAAGCTAGTACTCTACCACTTGAGCCACAGTGCCACTTCAAGTTTTCTTGTGGTTTATAGGAGATAAGAGTCTCATGGACTTTCCTGCCCATGCTGGCTTTGAACCATGATCCTCAGACCTCAGCCTCCTGAGTAGGATTACAGGCATGAGCTACTGGTGCCTGGCTATAAGTGATTTTTTTAATGGGTATTGCATTGAATTTTTATATTGCTTTTGGCAGTATAGTGATTTTCACAGTATTAATTTTGTCAATCCACCAGCACTGAATGTCTTTCTATCTTCTGATACCCAACTTTTTTCAAGGTCTTAGAGTTTTCATTATAGAGGCCTTTTACTTCCTTGATTAATGTAGATATTTTGCTGTTTTGGAGGCTATTGTGAATAAGATTATTTTCTTGATTTATTGCTCACCCTATATAGAATAGCTACTAATTTTGCTATATTGGCTTTGCTGATACATGATTCTTAAGTAAGGATCATTACCTATGATAGGCTTACAGCTCCTAAGAGTGAACAGAGCTGAATCCTGAGGAATCATGCCTTCCACTTCACTTCTTCTTTTTTTTTTTTTTAGTCAGTCGTGGGGCTTGAACTCAGCCGGGGCGCTGTCGCTCAGCTCTTCAGTTCAAGGCTAGTGCTCTACCACTTGAGCCACAGCGCCACTTCTGGCTTTTTCTGCTTATGTGCTGAGGAATCGAACCCAGGGCCTCATGCATGCAAGGCAAGCACTCTACTACTGAGCCACCTTCCCAGCCCCTCCACTTCATTTCTGAAAGCTGCCTGCTTTTCCTTTGTGAGGAAGCTTCTTCAGTGAATGAGGGGCTGTCTCTGCTTCTTTTCTAGAAATGTAAATCCTTTTCATTTTTTTTTGCTGTTGTGGAAATAATCTGGGTCTGAGGTTATGGGGAACAGGAGATGTAGTGCTTTTCAGCTCTGAGACAGTGGAGTGGCTTCTCAGCTCTGCAGTGGAGTGGCTAGGAATGCAGTCTTTATTACTGCATGACCTGGGTTTGAATTTCATTCCCATGGTTATTGTCTAACCTTGGGCTAGCGACTTCTCTTATCCTCAGTTTACTCTTTGTCACTTAGCTTAAGTCTGCCAGAAAGAAGTCCTCAGTAAGCAATATTGGTAATGATGTGATAAAAGCTTAAATTTTGGTGTGGCAATTAGTTCATAGTATTGTTTAAATAGAGTATATTGCTCATGACAGGTTTTGTTTTTTGTTTTCTGTTTTAAGATGAAGTGGCTGTAATAGATGAAATTCAGATGATTAGAGATCCTGCCAGAGGATGGGCCTGGACCAGAGCACTCCTAGGTTGGTCATTTTAATTTTCTAAAACCTGAGCTTTGTGATGTCTGCATTGAGATTTATTTGTTGTCCTTATGAGATAGTAGTCTTTAGACCCTCTTATTGACAAAAGTCAACCAAAAACATCAGTCAAGTGTGAGGGTTTTTTTTTTGTTTTTTGTTTTTTGTCGGTTGTGGGACTTGAACTCTGGGCCTGGGCGCTGTCCCTCAGCTCTTCAGCTCAAGGCGAGCGCTCTACCACTTGAGCTACAGCGCCACTTCCGGTTTTCTGATGGTTTATTGGAGATTAGAGTCTCATGGACTTTTCCTGCCCAGACTAGCTTTGAACCGCGATCCTCAGATCTCAGCCTCCTGAGTAGCTAGGATTACAGGCGTGAGCCACCAGCGCCCGGCGGTTTTTTTTTTTTTTATATATTACTTAATAATGGTAAGTTCTTTTTGTTGCTGTTATAAAGCTAGCATAACCATGCAGTTAAAAATTATAAAGTTCAAGTCTCTGGGCTGAGCATGTCGTTTAGTGGTAGAGTGTTCTCCAGGCTTGTGAGAAGTCCTGATTTTAATTCCAGCACCTCAAGAAAAAAAAAATTGTGCCATCTTTACACAATTGCTATTACTACTTTGGCATGCTTGAGGCCAGTCTTTTGTTTGTTTGTTTTTGGCTGGTCATAGGGCTTGAACTCTGGGCCTGGGCACTGTCCCTCAGCTCTTCGGCTCAAGGCAAGTGATCTACCACTTGAGCCACAGCGCCACTTCCAGTTTTCTGGTGGTTAATTGGAGATAAGAGTCTCACAGACTTTCCTGCCAGACTGGCTTTGAACCGCGATCCTCAGATCTTAGCCTCGAGTAGGTAGGATTATAGGTGTGAGCGAGCCACCAGCATCTGGCACCCAGTCTCCTTCTTATGCATGTGACTTTTTAAGAATATGGGATTTTGTGTCTACCTTTGGCTTTTGGTTTTTTTTTCAGTTCTCTTGTTTTATAAATTTTTTTATATTACGTAGTTATGTGACTGCATATTCTACATTGAAGAGCAGTACAAAACTTATTCTATGGAATTAAACAGTTTCCCTGTTATTAATAATGGTTCAATAAAAATGTTATGGCCATACTGTCTTGTTTTGTATGTTTATTTCTTTAGGACAGGTTCTTGGAAGTGGATTCTTCAAGTCCACTGATGTGTATAAACATTTCTACTGCTTGATTTTGGAGTGATTTTTCTGTTTTTGTTTTCTTTGAGACAGAATGTCACTGGGTGGCTCAGGGGTGACCTTGAACTTGAGATCCTTCTTGCCTTAGCCTCCTGAATGCTAGGTTTACAGGCATAGACTGTTATGCCAGCTTGAGTGAAATTTTAAGGCATATTTTTTTTGTGTGTGTGTGCCAGTACTGGGACTTGGATTTGGCCTGAGTGCTGTCCTTTAGCTTTTGTGCTCAGAGCTGGTGCTCTGCCACTTCTGGCTTTTTGGTGGTTAATTGGAGATTAAGGGTCTCACAGACTTTCCTACCTTGACTGGGTTTGAACTATGATCTTCAGTTGTTAAGTCTCCTGAATAGCTGGGATTATAGACACGAGCCATTGATTCCTGGCAGATGTTTTCAAATTTAAAAGCAACTAAAATCATTCTTTAAGTTAACATTGAAGCCTGTTACAAATTAGACAAAAGTGAATGTGCTCAGGAGTTAAGAAGCTCAGGTTTACTTTCACCTTCCAGCCCTTACCTTGAGTCTGTGGAGCCTAATTTGAAGAATGTAATTATAGGACAGGCATTCAGCACTAAGCATCAAGATGCCACAGTCTAGTCCTGGCTGGCTTAAGACCATAATAGACTTGAAATCTTGGCCTTGAGCAATTTAAGAGACTTGAGATTTATTTTAAAAAAAATTTTTTTACACATTAGAAGATAGTGATTTTGAGGTTTGCATCCAAGAGACGATATTTGTGAAAACATTTTGTAGAGTTACAAAACATTATTATGTATGCTGGGAATGTGGCTTAGTGATAGAATGCTTGTCTAGCATGCATGAAGCCCTGGGTTTGATTCCTCAGTACCACATAAACAGAAAAAGCCGAAAGTGGCTTTATGGCTCAAGTGGTAGAGTGCTAGCCTAGAGCAAAAGAAGCTCAGGGACAGACAGTGCCTAGGCCCTGAGTTCAAGTCCCAGGACTGGCACCAAAAATAAGTCCCAACACATTATTAGATAAAGTAATTTTGCTATGTAAATGTTGTGTATTATAAAATTTTAAACTATAAAGCAAAGTAATAACTGCATTTCCAGGACTCTGTGCTGAAGAAGTTCATTTATGTGGAGAATCTGCTGCTATCGATCTGGTCACTGAGCTGCTCTACACAACTGGGGAGGAGGTGGAGGTACTAGATCATAGACTTCATTCTCCAGCACCCCGGCTCACTGTACTGTGCCTTCCTAGGCCCTAGACTGTAGCAGATCAGAACTTTGTAACTTCACTAAAGAGACAGCTTCATATTCTTGTAGTTACTGGCTGGCTTTCTCTTTCTCATATATATTATACATAATAGGAAGTCCTGACAGAACTGCCATGACATGTAACACCTTAGGTATTCCAAGAATAAGGGAGAATCTCCATCTTTCCTTATAAACCTGGGGTGAGCAAATTGCTTTAGAATCGAATTACCAATCAGGACATTCAAGTATGAGATCCAGTCCAAAGTCTGTTGTATTAACCTGTTGGAGGTTTTACTGTCCATTAGTGTCAGGCACAGTTTCACATGTACAAATTCCTAAATTAGGAACTTACTAGTTTTCTTTGTATACTGCTTTTCATTTTTAAAATTTTATTCATTTTTTGTTTATGTGGTACTAAGGAATCGAACCCAGGGCCTTATGCATGCTAGGCAGTCACTCTACCACTAAGCCAGATTCCTAGCCCTGCTTTTCTTTTACTGGAGTTTTTCAACAAGATACTAAGATGGAGAAATATTTTTAAATTGTCCCGATGCTGTAGTTTTATGTTCGGCTTTTAGGGTGCTAAAACTTTCATAAAACAAAAATCAGTAAGAACTAATAATAGTAATACAGTATCAAAATTATTTTTTGTTTTTCCCTTGATTTGTTTTTCCCTTATTGATTATTTTGTAAGCTTCTTAGTGGTTAGTCACAAAAAATTGAATGTGTTGTTTTACCATTTCCTGTCTTTATTTAGGTTCAAAGCTATGAGAGGCTAACTCCCATCTCCATTCTGGACCATGCTCTAGAATCTTTAGATAACCTTCGGCCTGGAGACTGCATTGTTTGTTTTAGCAAGAATGACATTTATTCTGTGAGTCGACAGATTGAAATTCGAGGGTTGGAATCAGCTGTTATATATGGCAGTCTCCCACCTGGTAAATACTGGTTTTCATCATGAAAAGATATGAAATCTCTTCACTTTTGCCATTTATGTTGACATGCACAGTAGTAAAAGAAATGTTTACTTCATGTGACCTATTATAAAGTAACAATATATCACAGCTTAGGTTATAGGTTAAATGACATAAACATTTTCCACTAGGAAAATGGAAATAGAAGTATTTAGATCATTTATAGCCTGTGTCATTTGCTGTTATTAAACTACTTTTTAAATGTTGAATTTATGATTTTCTTATGAAGTGTCATTAAACTATGCACCTGGTAAACTCAAGTTGTAGTCCTGAAATTTACCAAGTGGCCTTAGATATGATAAGCAAATGTTGAGGAACTCTTATATGCATGAGGACTATTACTGCATGAGTATTGGGGTCTATTACGTGAGTATTGAGGGACTATTGTGTGAATGTTGCGGTCTGTTGGACAGCTGCTTCCTGAGGGGCTGTTGAAAGCAGTGGAAGTAGGATAGGGACTCTGAGTATTAAAGGAATGCAGTTTGAAACAGTAAAAGTTTACCCGTAAATCCAAAAAGAGCACAGAGACATTTAGCATGTTGTGGTAAAAGATTGAGAGCATTAATTAACAAAAAAACTGTTTCTATTTTAGGGACCAAACTTGCTCAAGCAAAAAAATTTAATGATCCTAATGATCCATGTAAAATCCTGGTTGCCACAGATGCAATTGGCATGGGGCTTAATTTGTAAGTAATTTGTTTTCAGTAAGCATGGACATTCAGTGGGCTAGATGGCCATTGTTTTGTTTTCAGTTTTCTAGCTGGCATTAATGACCTAACACTGCAGTATGATCTTGCTTATACCTTAAGATTTAAAAAAAAATCCTATTGTGGAAAGACTTTTAAATGTTGTTTGTCATTACCTGGCTTTGTTTCCAGTTCCTTTGTCAGTATACATGTATGGTAGTCATTGTTCTTAGTGATAACAGTGTTAAGCCTACATGTTCTGCCTTAGCTGACGGAGGAGCGATACCTTCAGAAATCAAAAGGAATTAATAACAGCTTAGCAACTAATTTTTTTTTTTTTGCTGGGCTTGAACTCCAGGGCTCAAGAGATACTCCTGTTTTGGCCTCCCGAGTACCTGGGACTGTGGTGGTACACAACCAGTCCCAGTGAAGCTTATTTTTTAAAGCCAGATGCTTTATTTGGGTCATTGTTTAAAAAGTTTTTTTGTTTTGTTTTGTTTTGTTTTTTCTGGTCCTGGGCCTTGAATTCTGAGCCTGGGTGCTGTCCCTGAATCTCTGTGCTCAAGGCTAGCGTCTACCACTTGAGCCACGGTGCCACTCTGGCTTTTTCTGAATAGCTTATTGGAGATAAAGAGTCTCATGGACTGACTTTGAACCACAATCCTCAGATGTCAGCCTCCTGAGTAGCTAGGATTATAAACATGAGCCACTAGCACCCAGCTTTAAAAAGTCATTTTCTTTTTTTTTATTATCATTAAAAAAATTGTTATTATAAAGGTGATGTACAGAGGATTACTATAATAAAAAGACATTTTCTATCTAGCTTAAATGTATAATTTGTATACCATATAGTTTACCCATAGTACAGTTTCATGAGTTTTAGTAAATAGAGTAATTGTTATTACTGCTCAAAGGGAAGAAAACTATTATCAACAAACTTTTCCTTATATTTAAATGGCAACAAGTTTCTAAGTTAGCTTAAATTAGAGCTGAAGTGAACATTTCTGTGGTGACCCAGGTGGCAGAGATTTAAGCAGGCTGTGGGGTCATTTTTATTTCTATTTCAGGAGCATAAGGAGAATCATATTTTACTCCCTTATAAAGCCCAGTATCAATGAAAAGGGAGAGAAAGAACTAGAACCAATCACTACCTCGCAAGCTCTGCAGATTGCTGGAAGAGCTGGGAGGTTCAGCTCACAGTTTAAAGAAGGAGAAGTGACAACTATGAATCGAGAAGACCTCAGTTTATTAAAGGAAATTTTGAATAGGCCTTTGGATCCAATAAAGGTAAGATGAAGCACATTCATTACACCCAGACTCCTATGACAGACACCTAGAAATGAGCCCAAGAGAAGTTTGCATAATAAAGACCATACCAAGAAAGCCCTTCGTCTTCATTGTCTTGGAGAGGCATTGAGACCCCTTGTTCCAATGAGATGTCCAGATTGACTTTCTTTTAGTTCTTCCTTGAATTGTAGCAGCAGCTGTGGGTAGAGGGATACAGTTTCTTTGTGTGACCAGCAAATAACCAGAAGCTTGATTAGGAAAAACTCCCAGCACTGAGACACTAAGAACAATATTATATTTTGCTTAATATTAGTTACTGAATCAGAAGTATACATATTTTAAACATTTAGAAAAATACTTTAAAATAGCTTGGGCACTTCCATGGCACATTTTCATTTGCCAGTAACACTAAAGACAGTATAAGAAAAATACTCCCTGATGGGAATCACTTGTGCAAAAGCTTTTGTTAAGAGTATGGTGAGCTTCACAGGAAGCCACAGTGCACTTGATAATCATACCCCATTTCCTGCCCATGTACCTCACTTCTTACATTTAAATTCATCTTCCTTTCCTTAGGAATGAGATCTCTTGCTGCTTTTCTCCCCTTGCTGCTTTCCTTACAAGTACCTGGGGGTTTCTTAACTGCGCATATGTATACAGAGATGTTACCTCCAGTTTAGACACTTGGTCATGTGTGCATGTATATAAGTTTTATTACATTACTTAAAGCAGCTGGGTTTTCCTTGTTTGTTTTTATTTAGCAAGGAGAAGTGACACTTAGAAAATCATTCTGTCAGCCGGGGTGCCGGTGGCTCACGCCTGTAATCCTAGCTACTCAGAGGCTGAGATCTGAGGATTGAGGTTCAAAGCCAGCCTGGGCAGGAAAGCCCATGAGACTCGTATCTCCAATAAACCACTAGAGAACTGGAAGTAGCGCTGTGGCTCAAGCGGTAGAGCACTAGCCTTGAGCTGAAGAGCGCACGGACAGTGCCCAGGCCCAGAGTTCAAGCCTCATGACCGACCAAAAAAAAGAAAAAGAAAAGCAAAGAAAATCATTCTGTCCTGGAAAGCATCGTATATATATCATCATATCATAATAGATTTTAGAAATATGACTAACACATAAGCCAAGGACTTCGTTCAGTGAATACAATCTGTCATTTTTATTGTCACCAGCTTTTAAAATTGACAGTAAATGTTAAAGTAATATGTCCTTTTCTCTATTTTATCTAAATTCTTGGCATGGAATTAATTTCCTGAGCACTTCACTTGAACATAGGATTTTATTTTGAAATGGGAAAACTTTTCAAAAACTGGGGGAAAAAATTCACAATTTTTCCTTTCATTAAAGGCAGCCGGTCTTCATCCAACTGCTGAGCAGATTGAAATGTTTGCCTACCATCTCCCGGATACAACCCTTTCTAATCTCATTGTAAGTGGAAATTAATTTTTAAGTATCACCTTTGTTTTTTCTTCAGTACAGGGGTTTGCACTTAGGGTTTGCATTTGCTAGACAGATGTTCTACCACTTAAGCCACACCCACAACCCTTTTTCTTTTGGCTGGAGCTTCCATGTGCTTCTCATGTTAATGGGGATGATAGAAACGTGCCACTGTTCCCAACCATTGTGCTTTCTTTGGAACTTCGATGCTCTCTGATATTTGCCTCCCAAGAAGTTAGGATTACAGGATTCAGACATGTGTGCAGCCCCTGTGAAATGTATCTTGTAGTGGCAACTTTCTTTCAGAGTCTTCTGGGAGTGGCAGTCACAGTGGCACATGCCTGTAATCTCAGTGTTGTGGAGACAAGATGATCAAGAGCTTGAGGCCAGTCTTGGCTGCTGGCTACCTAACAAGACCCAAAACAAAACCAGAGTATCTGAGAGTTTTGTCCTGAGGAATTTTCTGAATATTATGGGAAAAAAAATCTTTCACTTGAATAGGCAGAGGCCAAAAGCAGTCCTCTCTGGAAGTCTGCTTTGGATTAAAAAAATTGTTTTCCGTAGACTTCAGCCCTTTACTTGTGTAGCCCAGCAGTCTAGTAATTTCATATATCCTTTTCCCCCAGGATATTTTTGTAGACTTTTCACAAGTTGATGGACAGTACTTTGTCTGCAATATGGATGATTTTAAATTTTCTGCAGAGTTGATCCAGCATATTCCATTAAGTCTGCGAGTGAGGTATGTGTTCTGCACAGCTCCTATCAACAAGAAGCAGCCTTTTGTCTGTTCTTCATTGTTACAGGTAAGCCTTTTTCTTTTGATTCTGAGTTGTTCATGATTGATGTATTTTTTCCAAACACTAGTTTGTTCAAAATTAAACACTTCAGGTGAGAACTCTGTAATAGGAGAGACTTCATAAAAACTTAAATATAAAGGAACTTTCTCTTACAGAAATTGTGTGTGTGTAGGGTTTTTTTTTTGCCAGTACTGAGCTTGAACTTAGGGCCTGCATGCTGTCCATTAGCTTTTTTTTTTTTTTTTGGTCAGTCATGGGGCTTGAACTCTGGGCCTGGGCAGTGTCACTGAGCTCTTCAGCTCAAGGTGAGCGCACTACCTCCTGAGCCACAGTGCCACTTCCAGTTTTGTGGTTATTGGAGATGAGCATCTCATGGACTTTCCTGCCCAGGCTGGCTTGAACTGCAATGCTCAGATCTCAGACTCCTTCGTAGTTAGGATTATAGGTGTGAGCCACTGGTACCTGGCTGTCCCTTAGCTTTTTTCCTGAAAGCTAGTGCTCTGCCACTTGAACCACAGTTTCTAGTTCTGGCTTTTTTGCTGGTCACTTGAAGATAAGAGTCTTAGACTTTTCTGCCTGAGCTGGCTTTGTACTATGATCCTCAGATCTCAGCCTCCTGAGTAGCTAGGATTACAGTCATATGCCACTAGTAGCCTTATTGCTTTCATTATTTTTTAAATAGGGTCTTGCCTTTTTGCCTAGCCATCTGGACTATGATTTTCTTTCCTGGACTATGATACCCTTTCCCCATAGCTGAGATTTTTTTTTTTTTTCAGTCGTGGGGCTTGAACTCGGCCTGGGCGCTGTCCCTCAGCTCTTCAGCTCAAGGCGAGCGCTCTACCACTTGAGCTACAGCGCC